CGGAACCAACGATTACATATGAATCTTCAATGCGATTGATATCCCAAAACCTGATTTTGCGATCAGAGCCGGCGGTAATCATGTAGTTACATCCGGGTTGGAAAATGGCCGTACGGATTGAATTGTCCGATGAAAAACTACTTTCATGAGCAGTAAAAGCGCTTCTCAAAATATCACTCGGACCCGGTGGGTCAACCGCCTGCAACCGCGAATTCAAGTCAGTCACTGCTTAAATAAATTATGTGACAAAGTGGAGAGAATACCTTGAACATATCCAAAGAAGTTCCACCAATTTTCTCGTCTCCATTCCGAATTGTATATACTTCCTTACATTCAACCTTTTCTATGTCCCAAATTGAGACTTCATTTTTTCCCGCTGCAATAATCACCCACCATCTTTGTCGACTAGATCCAGCTTGTGGATGTAATAAGAGTTTGCTAATTCGACTTTTTGTGGGATGTACCCACGATCTTATTTGGATCCCAAATCTCAAGTCCCAAAGAGTGAAAATTCCTCGTGACGTGCCAATCAGAAGCCATCTGTACTTTTTGTCAGTCACCATCGCGGTGATGACACCATGACTCCTCGGATTTTCAAAAGTCCATAGCACTTCCATTGATCGCAAATCCAATCCACATATGTTTCCCTTGGACGTTGTATAAAGCAAGATAGATTCCGTACCTAAAATTAATTTAGTTAGGCATGAGAAATTAATATTGATAAATTTAAGTGTTCTCTTATATATATATATATATATATATATACCAGTGTTATAATGCTCCATTGCCACTGCATATTCGTCAATCAGGTACGTTTCTCGTATCGTCACGGGTTTACCATACTTTGGAGAATTAGCACCAGGCAAATAATCTATTCTAAACACGTGGATGCTTCCATTATCGGATGCAGCAGCGATACTATGTGTACCATCAATAAAAGTCATGCACTTGATCTTGCCACCTAAGAATAAATCGATCAACCAAATAAATTTTTTTTTAAAATATACTGTATATATACATGTATGTATTATTATAATTCAGTGTAGATACCTTGTTGGGCGTATGTCACTCTCGAACGACTATTAAAGTTTTTGACGAACCGAGAACAATCCCATATTTTGACTGTTCCGTCATCCGAACAAGTAGCAAAAAAATTGTGATCCGGTGAAACACATATCTGGTTAACGGCGGCTTTGTGCTCGGTCATATGAGCAACCAAAGTGCCTGTAATATATTCGTTGGAATTACATTTGAAATCGAAAATACAATCCAAAAAGATTGAACACAAATAAATAACCACCTTCAGGCCTCCAATTAGAAATTGATTTGACGGCACTTGCTCCTTTCGCAATACGTCCGGGGCGAGGTACTATTGCTTTTACAACCTTTTGTCCAAATTCTATGGAACAGTTAAAATACGGTAAATAAGTATTACTCGTCATGTAAGTCTGATAAAACTATATATTTCCGATTTTTTACCTGGCATTGGCTCCGGGTAAGATTTGAGATACATATTATCCAACAAATTCTTAACATTACGATCATTTCCCTCTATTTGCAGAAGATTGATTTCATTTCGTTTTCATAAAAAAGTTAAAAATACATGATTTTGTTCTAAATTTTTATGACGTACCGTATGTATTAGAAAAAAACGCGTTATTTCTTTTTGGAGTTTCGGGAGTTTGAGGAATACCGTTATGGAGCGCGCTACCATTTCCAACCCTTCCCACCGTGCGGACAACTGGAGTAGGTATTTCCATAGTGCCCACAACAGTTGTGGTACTAGTACTAATGGCGGGAGCAGCTTTAGGGCTTTCCACTGATCTTCCGACTAGCGACATATGCCTTTCACGAAAAGGTGTGGCCACCGCTGAAGTTACGGAATTCTGAGGACTATTGCTAGAAGGATTAATCATTATTGGAACGGGAAAATGTTTTCTATGAAGTGTTGGTGAGCTAACACCATTTGTCGTTTCCGAAATTTTGCCTAAATTCTTTGCGCCAGCGTTAATTCTTGCCTCTCTTAAACTAGTGGATATTAAGCGAGCATGATCTTCCGATCGAAGACTTTGAAGATTACTCTCGCTCGAGACTCGAAGAGGAACTGATGATTCAACTAATGAGGCCTTACTACTTTTTGCACTCGAAATACGATATATGCTTATCAAAAATAAATAAATGAAAATGGTAAGTAAAAATTTAAGATTCTTGAATGGTCTAAAAGTACACTCAGACTATTTACCTAGGTGTTCCAACAATATTCTAAATAAGGAATGGAAATTTAGTTTCAATTAGAGCAATCTAATATCGTAATAAAATTGCTTACTGTCTTTTCCGGTAGAGGGGCATTAACTCCGATTGTGTTTCCATCGGCATTGGTCGGCATAACGAATACAGTGTGAGGAGTTATCGTTGGACTTTTTAACGGTGCAGTTCCATCCTGAAAATCGATTAAGTAAAGGATGCATAAAATAAAATAACAACAGGATTGTAAAATATAATTTAAAAAAGTACCTCAACCCTATCATCGAACCTGGGACGAGCACTTTAAAAACAATCAAATGAAAAAATTCAAAATACGTATAAAACATAATAGATGAAATGTTAATGGCGGACTTACAGTTTCGAAATAGATAAATTGTAAATGTAGTCTCTCATTGATGCAATTTTCTCTTCATCTTCCCTCGTCATTCCCATATTCCTTATTCTGTCTAAGTATAGCTCATCCCTAGGATACAATGAAACCGTGAATCAAAAAATTTTCTAAACATTAATAACATAAATGGTAAATTCTTACTCGTCTGACTTAACAATTCTCTCAACATTTACGGTAAGTGACGAAGTTTTTCGCGACAGTAAATTTATAACACTAGTACTTCCGTATATCGACATTGATGCAGTCTTACTAGCTCTTCGTTCTTTCGCTGACTTCCAAAATGATGTTTTGTTTGATTTCGAAGCCCAATTTACAACTGCATCGAATACAAGTCTCGAGATCTGAAATAAATAAAAATAAATAATGATAAATACGCTCCCTAAAATTAAATGAGTGAATCATACTTCCTAAAGTAAAATGAAAAAAAGTCATTACAGGTTCTTTGACGTTCTCTAAAAGGTGATATTCAGTAATTTCTGCGATATCGGCTTGTAAAAATGGTCTTATTATTGGATATACTATACACCACACATCTGTTACGGGCAAAAGTTTTGCAGTGGATGAAATAAAAGCAATCGCACCTATATAAAAGAAAAAGAATATTTAACGACTTATATCAATATTACAGAGAATGCTAATACTATAACATAATTCATTCTTACCGTAACGAATCCACACTCCGGGATGGCACATCAATGGCGCAACGATGGCGACCAACTCCCATAATTTCATTTTTTGGAATAATCCTAGTTCAGCAAGACTCGTCAAAGAATTGAGAACTCTTTCTACAACAAATTCTTCCGAATCTATTTTGTTTATATTTTACCAATTAATCATAATACCACCTGCAAATTATCTGAGGATCACCAAGTTATATAATTACCAGAAAGCGACTGAATCATTAAAGGTAATATATATTCTTCTAAACTCCGACCTCCGACAAAGGTACCAACACCAATTATACTTTCGAAAAAGGCACTATTTAAACCCGGTATTAATTAAATGGCTAAAGTAGAATGACGGAAAAACGTAATAAGTCAGACCTTCTTAGCATCCAATCTCTACCATTCAAGTACGTTATCATATGACTTAACAATATGTCATTAGCTTTTTGTCGACCAAAGAAAATACAGAGACTGGTGATGTTTGAGAGTAAAGCGCGTTTAACTGCTCCTTCGGGATCAATTAAAAGAGCTATCACTTGCTCTTGTATTATAGACTGAAGTTCATGTAAGGTCGAGTCATAAGATGTCTATAACCAAAAAGATTCTAAGTGAAAAAAGCATTTGCAGCGGAACGATCGCACCACAAATTAAACACTTTCTCACCTCATATGACCCTTCGTTCTCAGCTGAGTTTAGAACTTCTGTTTTGAAAAGCTAAAATAAACAGAATCGATATTTACATCCTGAAATTCAGAAAATATTTGACGTTATTAATAAAGACGTACTACCTGTGTCAGTTCAAGAAATTTCAAGGCTGTCTCTGCTAAGGTAGAAATACATTGTGCATAAGTCATTCGTACAAGGATCTCTGGATCGGAAGTAAATTTGCGCAATTTTGGCATTATATACTCGGGAAAGATGGTGGCGTTGGATGGAGTTATATTTTCTACCATAGAAAGCTACATGGTATATGGACGTTCTTTCGTTATTATAAATTAGGAATTATAATCACGAATTTTAATCGATATGTACCAAATTAGCCAGTGTCTTAACTGCGTTGGCTCTGACCAAACCGACATCATCATCCAGAAGCGCCACTAAATATGGAACCAGTCGATCTAACTTGCATTCATCATCCAAATGCTGACCGATCGCAAGTAACATGTCAAGGGCATGAAGTTTTGACGAAGGATATGCAGTGTTACGAATAATTGCACATATTAAAGAGAGGAATATTAGTGCCCCGTCATCTTTCGCATGAAAATTATTATTAGTTAATTATTTCGGAAGTGCGCAGACGAATAACCGTAATATCATATGCATACCGGAATTTTTCTTTCTCTTAGTAACACCGCCGAAAGACGCGGGGTCATAATTTGGTATGTGGAGATTAACTGTTAACGCTGACTATGCATGAGAATAAATTAGATCAATCATAAAGGATATTGAATTCCACTGCGAACATATGATTGAATACCGCTGAATTTGATGGTAGAACTTGAGACATAGAAAGTGTTATTTAAGGATGAATTTGTCGATAACTAAACAATAATTTTTTCATACAATATACCTTCTGCAACACGAGAACTCTCGCCGATTTTATCTCCGGGACCGTGATTAACAACAACATCAGTTTCTACGGTGGTATTGTCACCATAAAATCCCAAAAAAAACGCAATTTTATCAAATTCATGATAAATTCTTTCAATTCTATCATCAGCATCTGTGTTTACTATAGCATTAGGTGTTGCATTGGGATCCTGTGGATTATCAGGTTTTGACGCGCTGCTGGAGAGACGTCTAGGGCGGGATTGGATGAGCGGATCAGTCACAGAACCGATGTATTGGTGAAGAAATGTGTAGAAATAATGAGGAAATGCCGTGCCACGCCTACAGAGAAATAAGTTTACATCACAAGGTTAATTACGAGTCATTTACAAATAATTAATATAAGAAATTAGATAAATACCATTCCTGTAAATACTGCTCAGCAGTATATCTCTTCGATCGGAATTTGACAATTTTATAAACTACGAACATAATTTCGAAATGTGTATTAGAGGAGAAGGAAGCATTATCAGAGGTTCCCAATGCCTTTTCATACCAACGAATAATTGAAACTGAGAAAGCTGGATACTTGATTAGACAATACTTCTTTCATAGTCTCTATGACCGTATTAGGTTAGCGTGATTTTGACTCGAAGATTTGTTAACAAATTTTTTTTTGTTCTCACGATTCTATTATTTATTTCTAATCTTAAGTTTAAATATTATAGTACACGGCCGTTTTTAAATTGCATAGAAAAAAAATGGATATCGTATCAGATATTATGTGGCATACATGACGCACACACTCGAGGGGTTTGTTTTTCTTTTTGGTGGAATTTCATCTTTCATATATTCAATTTTTACATTGAATCTTTAATATTGACATTATGTCTAAAATAATAGATTTACCATGGAGATATCAAAACAGAGAATGTTCTTGTCACTTCGTGGAATTGGGTTTATTTGGTCGATTTTGCAGGATATAAGCCCACTTATCTACCAGAGGTTTGTTATTATTATGTCAGATGAAATCATCTTTCTTTCTAAATGTAACTATTATGTACATAAAGGACAACCCTGCGGATTTTTCGTTTTTTTTTGATATTTGATCGTTTTTGAGGGATTCGGGTTTATTTTT